CTCGAGAGCCATGGAGGAGCCGCAGCCCAGGCCCAGCCCGCGGGCTCCTGCAAGCCGCACCTGGAGAAGCTGACCCTGGGGGTCACCCGCATCCTGGAATCATCCCCAGGTGTGACAGAGGTGACCATCATAGAAAAGGCACCTGCTGAACGTCATATGATTTCTTCATGGGAACAAAAAAATAACTGTGCTGCCTGAGGATGTCAAGAATTTTTACCTGGTGACCAATGGCTTCCACATGACATGGAGTGTGAAGCTGGATGAGCACACCATCCCATTGGGCAACATGACAATTAATAGTATCACAAAACTGACTCAACTCAACCAGTCTTCCATGTACTCACTTCCTAATGCACCAACTCTGGCTGACCTGGAGGACAATACACAAGAAGCCATTGAGAACCAGCCAGAGAAGCCCCACTTTGACTCTCACACTGTGATATTTGAGCTGGACCTTTGCAACAGGAATGGGAAGGTTTGCCTCATCCACAAAAAAGGGAAACCAGCATTAGCACAAGACACTGAGATCTGGTTCCTGGACAGAGCACTGTACTGGCATTTCCTCACAGATACCTTTACCGCCTATTACCGCCTGCTCCTCACGCACCTGGGCCTGCCCCAGTGGCAGTACGCCTTCACCAGCTATGGCATCAGCCCACAGGCCAAGGTAAGGACCACCTGTCCACTCAAACTGTAGACTGTATCAGAATCTTCTGAGGAAAGACCTGAATGCAGACTCCCAGCTTTCCCGTCTGATTGAGGAATCCGGGGTGGAGCCCAGAGATCTGCACTTTCAATAAGTGAGGCAGGTGATCCCACCCCACTTTATACCAATCTAGGTCAGTGGTTCCCGAATTGGCTGATCCTCAGAATCGCTGGGGAGTTTTTCTCTAATCAAATGTTGTCGGGCCTTCGCTCTGATTGTGGGTTTTGATGGGCAGCACACACACAGGAAGGTGAAGTCGCCTCTTACTTTCCAGTTCCCAGCTTCCAGTGCACCTCCCCACAGGCAGCCACTTTTGGAGTTTCTCGTGTGCCCTTACCAAGACACTCATGCATGTGGTTTTGGTTCCTTTTTTCTCAATCACGAGTGCAGTATGGTGTTCACATTTGTGTGTACGTTCTTTTCACTTAGCACTCCATCTTGGAACTCATTCCCTGTCAGTACGTAGAGAGCTGTCCTCAGTGACAGAGAATTCCAGAGAATGGGTGCGCCTCCTTTACGTTACAGAGCCTGCCAAACCTACCTGATGAGCAATGGCTGGTTTGAGGGCAGAACACGGAGGACTCTGTCCCCTGGATTTGGGACCCAGCATCCCAGGCTCAGAACAGAAGGAAGGAAATTTACCCCGATTTGTAGTCCTCCTACTGCATTTACTTGAAAGGTTCTGAGACCTCATGGAGCAATGTGTGTGTCGTCACTTTCACAGGCAGTCTAATAGAATTTCGAGGACTTTTTCATAAAAACTTACTCTTTGCCTCGTCTCTCTGGCTCTCTTCCCTGTATCCCCACTGAATAGCATAAACAAGGGCATTTCTCCTTTGATTGTGACCCTCTCTCCATTCTGCCTTCCAGCAATGGTTCAACATGTATAAGCCCATCACCTACAACACGAGCCTGCTCACTGAAGAGACTGACTCCTTTGTGAACAAGCTGGATCCCAGCAAAGTGTTCAAGAGCAAGAACAAGATCTTAATCCCCAAAAAGAAAGGGCCTGTTCCATCTGCAGGCAGCCAGAAAGGGCCCTCGGGTCCTCCCTCCACCCCCTCCACCCCTAAATCCTCCTCTGGCTCTGGAAACCCTGTGCGGAAATGAGTCTCCCTCCCCTGCCCCCAGCTCCCTGCAGCCCCACAGTGATGATTTCCATGCACAGATGCCCAGGGGGGCCCAAGCCTGAGGGCCTCCTCCCATCTGAGTGACCAAACCCTAGGCCTCTTACTCCCATGAATTAGCCAGGAGTTGGAAGGGCATACTCAGGTCGCCCCGAGAGTCCTCCTCTCATGCCACCCCTACCTCCAGAAGCTGTGCAAAATTTTAGATCTTAATTTAAAGTAGCCAAATAGATCTGTTCAGAGGTTCCTCTCTTCCCAGCAGCAGCCCCCCAGCAGTGACTGAGGAGTGCCCCAAAGAAGCCGCTGGTTTAGAACCACGATGTTCTGTTGGTAGCGACTAATCACATGTTGCTATTTAAATCTAAGTTATACTACAAATCCATGTCCTTATAACGTATCTTGCATTATAGCCACACTGAATATTCATGTGGCTAGTGGATTCCACATGTACAGCGCAGAGATACTGGGACATTTCTATCACCACAGAAAATTCTATTGGATGGCACCCCATTAGAATCTTGCCACTGTTCTTCCTCAGTTCAATTAATATTTGTTAGAGAATGTTGATACCTTAATTTGATGATTATAATGTTCCACGGACACTCTTGAAAATATAATTATATGTTCTTTATATCCTTCACCACAAATCTGCATTTTTTTCCAGTTTTTTTTAAATAAAGTTTCTTGCTTCCAAAAAAAAAATTCAACTAAAAGACAAAATGGACATCATCCAGAACCACAGGAAGGCTGGCTGAGTGGAAATTCTACAACTAGAAGGAAAGAGAAAAGCACACTGAGACTCAGAGGAAATGCGGAAGTAAAGTGCAGAGGTACGGAGGCGCACGTGGAAAGGGCTGGCAACTGAGGACAC